GCTCCCAGCAACACGGGGGGGGACATCGGCGAGCCTGGGGGGGGTCCCACTACCTTGTCCCCCCCACTGCGAGCAGCTCAGGGTGCTCTTCCCCTGAGCACCGGGCTGCAGGGAAGGGGAGGGGGGGGTGTTTGCTCGGCTGAGCCCCCCCCCCAAACCCCGCGGGGGTACGTGGTGTGTCGTGTGTCCCCCCCAAAGCCAGAGCGTGGCCGTGCATGTCCCCGCACGCTGCCAGCTGCCCTCCGGTGACAAGCAGCCGGAGCAGCAATTGCAGCCACCGTGTTTGGGGGTCCAGCGCCTCGTTTTGCCCCCCCCCCGGGTGCCTCCCCCCCCCATCGGCAAACCTGCGTGGGGGGGGACGCGTCTCCGCAGCACAAGTGTTCGGCTTCTTTCCGCTCCCCCAGTTTTTCCCCTTGCAGCAGAAGCACCGGTTCCTGGGGCGTTGGGGTTTGTGGGGTGGGGGGCCCAGGGTGGGGGACCTAGGATGGGGGGCCCAGGGTGGGTGTCCCAGGGTGGGGGGCCCAGGGTGGGGGTCCCAGGGTGGGGGTCCAACTGGCACTGCAGAGCCCTGGGAGCAGCCCAACGTTCCAGCCCCACGTTCAGCCAAGCTGCCTTCTGGCCACACCGTGATTTGGGTGGCGTTTTGGGGGGGGGCTCAGGCTGCACCCCAACCCCTCCATCCCTGGTGCCCGGGAGGTGGCTCAGCCCGGGGTGAGGGGGGGGGAGCAGGGGCACCCGGGTGCCAGGGCAGGAGGAGGGTGCAAACACCCGCAGAGATGCATCCCATGCCGAGGGCCTTGGGGAGCAATGCTGCCCCCCCCCCCAGCCCTGCACCCCAGCCTGTGGTCGAAGCCGGGGGGGGGGGGTTGCAGGAGCAATGTGGGGCCCTGCGGCCCTTCGGCTGCTCTGAATTGAGGAAACTGAGGGGAGGGGGGGGGCAACCCTCTGGGGGTCCCTGCCGGGGAGTTGTATCCGTCCTTCTGCAGGAAAAAGCCACATCCCCGGCCTCCCCTTGCTGCCGCGGGGGCTGAAAAACAAATAAAAGAGGTGGAAAAAGGATTTGCCCCCCTGACAAGAAAAACAAAAAAAAAAAAGAAAAAGAGGGGGCACCCGGATTTGAACCGGGGACCTCTTGATCTGCAGTCAAATGCTCTACCACTGAGCTATACCCCCACCGCTGCCTTTCGTCCCCTGGCGCTAATAGCAGCAGCGCTGCACGGCCGGGTCCCTGCACACCCCCGTGCCCCCCAGCTGTAATGCACACGCACACTCATATACACACACGCACGCACCCCCCCGCCCCCCCCCCCCCCGCGCACCCCACACCCCCCTTGGCCGGGGGGGGGGGGGGCCGAGGCAGGATCCCGCTGCCGCACTCATCCCAGTCGGGGGGGACGTGGCAGCATCAGCCCCAAAACTCCATCTGCAGAGAGCGGGATGGAGCCAAACCTTGAGTTTTCTGCAAAGCAGGCCCAGGCTGTGCATCCCACCGCAGGGCTCGGGAGACTGGGGGAGTACACGGGTTGCCAAGGTTGGGGGAGCCCCGGGGGTTTGGGGGAGCAGAGCTGCCGTGCGGGGGCCTCCGTGGCGCTGGGAGGGATTAGGTGGAGACGGCAGCGTCGAGGCGAGCACCCAGCGGGAGACGGATGGGGGGAGAGGCCGTGATTGTGCCCGAGGAGCGAGGTCAATATTTGCTCCCTAAGCCGCTGTGCAAACGTGCAGGGCGAGCGGGGGCAGCGCGTCGGGCCGGATCCAGGCACCAGCACTTCCTGGACCATAGGGAGAAAAGTTTGGGGTCACCCCGGTGCAAGCAGCCACGGTGGTTTTCCAGCCACCGGTCTGGGTTGTCCCCTCGCTGAGCTGCCCCGTTTCCCTGTGTCACCCATCAGCCTCACCGCCTTCCTTTTTACAGATAGGGAAACTGAGGCACGAAGGTGGGGGGAATCGCCCAGGGCAGCAGCATCCCAGAAAGGGAAACCCCAAAGGAGGGTGATCTCTCTCCCTGCAGCAGGACACATCCCTGGAGCCCGAAGGAGGGGAGACCCCAGTGCACCCCACTCCCAGCGATCCACCAGTTCCTATCCTGCCCTGGCTGCTCCCAGGGACAAAACCCAGGGGAGCGTTGCCGTAGCCCCCAGTGCCACAGTCCGGCAACTGGGAACCAGTCCTGGGGTGGCTCTTCCTGCTGCAAAGTGTATTGGAGAGGTCAGGGGGAGCACGGGGTGGACCTGGCTAAGCCCCCCCCCGCATGTTTGGGGACGCGGCGGTGGCATTGTCTGGGGGATCCGCTCAGGGGAGGCCATTTGGGGGTTTGCCCAGTGCTGGTGCCAGCTCAGCCGGGAGATAAGGGCCAGGACACGCAAACACCTCGTTTGCAAAGCTGTTAGGGAAGGTGCAAAGCCCGTCACCCCCGGGAGACGTGTGTGTGTGCACAGTGTGTGTGCACAGGGGGTGGCAGATGGGACATGCACCGGGGCGGGGGGGGACGGGACAGGACACACAAAAACCACAGATGCCAACCTTGTGCCCACCGCTGCCCTTCCTGGGGGTGACGGTGTTTGTCCCCCATTCTCTCCCTCCACCTCCCCCTTGTCCCCACTGTCCCCTGTGTCCCACTGCCCCAGGAAAGGGGGGGGACAAACGTGGGAACCGAAGCCCGCTATTGCACGGAGCCGCTTGGTGCCTGGCAGGGTGCTGACACCCACCGCCACCCCGACCCATGGGGGGGACCCGAGGGGCTGGTGGGGACCCAGGGCTGGAGCCGACCAGGCGCCAGAGCCAGACCGCTCCGGGGGGGCCGTTTACTTTGGGGCTGTTGCAGCCAGCGAGGGGAAGGCTGGCAATTATGTTAATCCCTTAACCCCCTGATTGCCTCCTCCTTCCCCATTAGGTGGGCAAACAGTTTTAGCAGCGGGGGCCAAGATAGGCGGTGGGCTACATATACCCTGCGCCCCAGGCCCGAGCACCCCAGCATCGCCCGCCAGCACCATGCCGATGTCCCCAGCCATCCTCTGCCTCATCGCTTCGCTCCTGCCCGCCGCCTCCGGCTACCTCTGGGCCTGGATGTACTCCTTGCCCCAGCACCTGCCCGATGAAGCCGCGCTGGGAAGAAGCGCCAGCCCCGGGGACAACCTGGAGGAGGTGAGTAGTGGGTGATCCCCCCGCCAACCCGGGTGTGGGGATCCTGGGGGAGAGGAGGAGGAGGGGGTGCAGTTGCAACAGGGCTGCGAGCAAGGGTGAGAGCTGAGTTTATGGCCGGGGTGGGAGCAGGGGTGGGAGTACAGGTGGGAGCTTAGTTTCCAGTGGGGTGGGAGCTGGTTTGCAGCAGAGTGGGAGCACGGGTGGGAGCCTGGTTTCCAGCAGGGTGGGAGCAGAGTTTGCAGCAGGGGTGGGAAGCAGGGGTGGGAGCTGGTTTGCAGCAGAGTGGGAGCACGGGTGGGAGCCTGATTTCCAGCAGGGTGGGAGCAGATTTCGCAGCAGGGGTGGGAG